TGCGCGCGCGCGCACACACACACACATATACATACATACACACATATATACACTCCAAATGAAAGAATAGATCAAAAGTTCCAAAAACAAAACTAAGTGACGAAAAGATAGCCAACCTATCAGATGCACAGTTCAAAACACTGGTAATCAGGATGCTCGCAGAAATGGTTGAGTATAGTTGCAAAATGGAGGAAAAAGTGAAGGCTATGCAAATTGAGATAAAGAAAAATAACAGAGAACCAACAGTAAAGGGAAGGAAACTGGGACTCAAATCAACGATTTGGAGCAGAAGGAAGAGATAAACATTCAACAAGAACAGAATGAAGAAACAAGAATTCAAAAACATGAGGAGAGGTTTAGGAACCTCTGGGACAACTTTTAAACATTCCAATATCTGAATCATAGGAGTGCCAGAAGGAGAAGAAGAGCAAAAAATTGAAAACTTATTTGAAAAAACAATGAAGGAGAACTTCCCCAAGCTGACAAAGGAAACAGACTTCTAGAAAGTCCAGGAAGCTGAGAGAGTCCCAAGGAATTTGGACTCAAGGAAGTACACACCAAGACACATCATAATTTCATTACCCAAGTCGAAAGATAAGGAGAGAATCTTAAAAGCAGCAAGAAAAAAGAAGACAGTTGCCTACGAAGGAGTTCCCATAAGACTATCAGCTGATTCCTGAAGAGAAACTTTGCAGGCAAGAAGGGGCTGGAAAGAAGTAGTCAAAGTCAGGAAAGGCAAGGACCTACGTCCAAGATTCTTCTCTCCAGCAAAGCTATCATTTAGAGTGGTAGGGCAAATAAGCTAAAGTTAAAGGGGTTCATCATCACCAAGCCCTTATGTGAAATGTTAAAGGGACTTATTTAAGAAAAAGTAGTTCAAAAACTATGAACAGTAAAATGACAACAAACACAATTAGCAACAACTGAACCAAAAACAAACACACAAAACAAACTAAGCACAACTGGAACAAGAACAGAATCACAGAAATGGAGATCACATGGATGGTTATCAGTTGGGAGGGGGTAGGGGAGGCTGGGGAAAAAGGTACAGGGAATAAAAAGCATAAATTATAGGCACAAAATAGACAGGGGGAGGTTAAGAGCAGTTTAGGAAATGAAGCAGCCAAAGAACTCATTGTGTATGACCCATGGATATGAACTAAGGCGGTGGGGAGGGGAATGCTAGAGGGAGGGGTGGGAGGGGAATGCTAGTGGGTACAGGGTGGAGGGGAACAAAGGGGAGAAAAATATGGGAAAACTGTAACAGCATAATCAATAAAATATATATTTAAAAAATGCAGGTTATAATAACAATGAAAAGAAATTCAACTGCCAGGATTCAACAATATATGTAAAACAGTAAGTATAGAGATGATGTAGAACAGCTTCTCAATATACAGAAGATAGTTTTATTATCTGATTATCTACACTCTCCTGTAAACCACTTGAATATATATTAATAAATGGACCATCAAAGAAATGCATATTAGTCACCACTGTGTACCTAATACTTAAACATCAGCAAATAATTAAAAATTTCTAATTTAGAAGCCTTAAGAGTACTAACATTTACTGAGCATTTACTATATACCCAGCACTTTCTAGGCATCAATTTACTTGTATTATTTCATTTAATTCCTGAATCATCTCTTTGTAGTAGATTCTAAATACTATTAATTGCAACACTTAAATAATGTTCAGATGCTGGTCATTCAGAAATCCCAACATCATGAAGCTAACAGAATGAAAGTTTTATGAGTTAGAAGAACTTTGTAGAATATTAATTATAATGTTTGACAAGATATAGGGCATACTTTCAACCCTTCAAACTCTTCATCTGACAGATAAAGGATGCTGAAAAGTTTGATTTGGCCAAAACCATATAGCAAATACATTTTTAATTTTCCTTGCAGACTATCAGATCCTGAGATCAGATTACCAGACTGTCCTTAAAGAATTTCTTTCGCCAAAAGAAATATGAAGCAAATATAACAAAATATTAAAATTTTTTATTATTGAGGTTGGTACAAATAATAGTTGTAGTTTTTTCCTCTGAGTTTTCCTCTACGGTTTTTCTGTACCTTTATATTTTTAATTTAAAAATTGCTTTATCTGCTTATGTACTTTCATTTTCAAAGTAGATGTATTATCAACCTTTATATACAAGGTTTCTAAATACTCTAGGTTTATATTTTTCTTTCTTTCTTTTTTAATGATAGTATGGTGAAGTGCAAAGTAATTTGGATTAAATCTCACACAGTAAAGTATGTATGTAATTCTCTAGAAGTTTTGGCAGTTTTCTTCATAATCAAATTCTTCCCCTAATGAAGTACAGTCTGTAAATCTTAAAATAATGGAAGATTTAAACACAATATCAAAACAATAAAGTATCATTTTGCACACCTCATTCTCAAAAAGGCTTCTTTATCAAAATACACACAAGCAATTCCACATTACTTGCTTCACCCCTTGACCCAAAACACAAATATGTACACTGTTTTTCTTTATGTCAATTCTATATACAAGCAAAGGATGAAGCTCCAAGGGAAATGCACAGTATTTTGAAGTGTATTACTGGTTATTTAGAGCCAAACGAAGTAAGTATAGTGTATGTAGTTCTAGTACAGCAGAACTTCAGAAACTAGGCAATGCTGAGAAGTGAAAAAGATTAAGACAGGAATTCAGATGACTCAATAAGAGATCAGGGCCCTGGCTAGTGTGGCTCAGTGGCCTGAGTGCCAGCCTGTGAAACAAAGGGTCGCTGGTTCAATTACCAGTCAGGGCACATGTCTGGGTTGCGGGCCAGGTCCCAAGCAGGGGGCACATGAGAGGCAACCACACATTGATGTTTTCCTCCCTCTCTTTCTCCCTTCCTCTCTCTCTAAAAATAAATAAAATCTTAAAAAAAAAAAAGAGGTCGGGGATTTGGTGTGCGAGGAGGAAGAAATGAGGGAGGGGGAAGCTCTGGCTTTGAACCTGAGGCTGCAAGCTAAGAAATGCCAATGTATTAACACCGGTTCTGATTCGTCCCTGGGTTTGTGTTTAACTGTTCTTATACAGCTAATTTAAGAATTTTGAAAATGAGTTAATTGCATTTTCAACTGTGTTAACTTGACAATTAAAATGAATTATAATTATTCCTCATTAGTTTAGCTTTCAGAAATGGTTATGAGCTACTCACTCATTTGTCACCAGAAAAAGATAGCTTACTCCTGCCAAGCTCAGCATCAGGGAATACCTTTAATGGACTGTTTTGATAAAACCTTGACACCACGCACCCTTTAGATACAAAATGGGGCATTACGTGTAGCCAAGTGTGAATTTAGTACACCCCTCAAATGTAAAATGCAATCATGAGGTTCTCCCCTTTCCCACTATAAGCTTATACTTCCCGGAATCGCCACTTGCTTGGTCACAGAACTGTCATAGTTGGCCAAACTGTGTGTAATCCTGAACAACCACAACTTATTAGCCTATTGTTTTGATTCCAGCACTGTTTCCATTTTAACCCTGAAACTACTTGGATGATTTTTTGAGACACTGATGCTAAGTTTGTTTAGTGCTTCTAACTGGTCAAAATATAATCACACATACTGCCTCACTTCCTCCTCTCAAAATTCAAAGGAGTAACATCTAATATTCATCTCTTTTTTACCCTCAATCTGTTCTTCTCACTCATGTTTCCTGTCTCCAGGATGCTACCACTACAGATACTATTGGTCAAAGCACAAGCCCAGAACTCCTCCTTCTCAATTACCATCCAATCACTAAACGAGACTGGTTCTACCTCCAAATCACTACTTCGTCCTAGTTGCATCTCCTAAGGTCATTTCCTGCTTAAACCACTGCTACAGCTCTGGGAATCTGGCCTCAGCTTCTCCAACATACTCCACACTATCGACTTTTCTGCTTAAACCTTTGCTGACATTCCAGTATCATTAGGTGAAGTCCAGACAAAAATAATGTTCTTCAGCCCTGGCTGGTGTGGCTTAGTGGATTGAGTGCTGGCTTGGGAACCAATGGGTCACCAGTTCAATTCCCAGTCAGGGCACATGCCTGGGTTGCGGGCCAGGTCCCCAGTAGGCAAGAGGCAACCACACATTGACGTTTCTCTCCTCTCTTTCTCCCTCCCTTCCCCATGTCTAAAAATAAATAAATAAAATCTTAAAAAAAAAAAAAAAAAACCCCGTCCACCATCCAAACCGTTGCCCAGCATTCTTGTCATTTTTCTTCCTACAAACTTAAATCCATCCCTGGCATCCTATATTTGGGCCACACTGAACTCCTTGGAATTTCTTAACGTGACAAACTTTTCCACACATCCAAACCTCTGTGATGCTGCTACTCTGATGTCTTTTCAGGACTCCACTTAGAGGTCATTTCCCTCTAAAGAGAGCAAAACAATACTGACTGACTTGTACTTCCATTCAACCCAGGTCAGGTTATAAACCTGTCCCGTGCAGCCCCAGAAAACCCTGAGTTCATTTCTATTAGTCTCTATTGTTTGTTTGCCCTAATTGTCATTTGTTCCTATTCGACTCAAAGTTAAGTGAGAGAAAAGAATGACTTATTTATATAAGCAGTGCCAAAACCTAGCACTAGTGCTCAAAATATGCTTCTTAGTAGCCACTCAGTAAGTGCTTCTTTAATCAATAAAGGTATAGATTTTATGTAATCTTACAAATGAGAAATCTGAGGCAGAAAGCAGTTAAAGTCATGGACTAATTCAAAGAAGAAGTGAGACTAAAGCCCGAGACTTGTGGACCCTTGCGCTGCTGGGTTCACAAACTACCACATTTCACTGGCTGGAATGTCAAAGACTGAACAACTCAAAACAGAGAACTAGAATTGACAAGAGGGAGCAAAATCAGAACTACTGTTTCCCCAATGACCCACGAAGAATAAGTATGACATTCAGCAGCCTTCAAGCAGCTGCATTCTCAGACAGATGCTCAGCCTTTGCAGCAGCCGTCAGCCTGATTTCAAATGCTGTATACTACCTTTTTCCTCTGTCACGTGTCGAAGTAACTTCTCAAGTTCAGGAAGTTTCAGCAACAAGATGCAATTTGGAAACATGTCATCCACCACGACCTGATCTAGAGGCTGAAACTTTCCCTGAAAAAAAACACTTTAGTCAGTCAGAAAGCAAGCATGACAGTCAACAAACTGATATATTTTAAAAAGAGAGAAAAAGATACATTACCTCATAGCTGGAGTTTTTAATTAAGTTCAGAGCCACTTGTTCCACCTAAGGAATCCCCAAACTGAGATACTCTCTAGAACTGACTCTCAGCTGGATTCCAACTTCAGGAGTACAGTTATGGGATAAAATAACACAGCAAAATTCTGGGAAAGCATTGGAAGTTATGGAAACTTTCAAAGATGGGTAAGATTGCCTAGGGCTGATCCAATCCATTTAATTTGAAAAAGAACCAGCTGAGGTCACAGGAGTCCTGACCATCACCCAGGAATAAGACTAATCAAGCCCACAGTGTACATCTCCTCTTCCCTTCTCACTGTTCCAGGCTTTCAAACACCACAAGAAAAAGAAAAATGTCAAAAGTGAATCTATTCTTGTTGGAGCTAATAATGCTTCCAAATTTAGACTATAATAAAATAAAAGATGGTTAGGAAGATAAGTACAATGAAGCTGCAGATACATTAAATCATGCTAAGCTAGATAAACGTATATGGCCTCGTGGCCATTGGCCAGAAGTGCAGAACACAGAAATTCAGGACATTCTTCTTCTCAGTTAGGTTTAGTTTTTTTTTAACTTTAACAGTAGTGTGGAAATACCTGAATTTGCAAAGGTGTATAGTTTTGCCCATGTCCCACTTCTAGCTCTCTCTACTTTTCTGTTAGTGACAATTCCATTTGAAGACAGGAAACTTGAGTCTGATCAGTTTTCTCTCTGTAAATACAGCTTTGTTTGTTTTCAGAGTGAAATCTTAATCATTCATTCAGTAGCATGCGTGACAACTTGCCACACTGTCTGTCAGTTTAATAAGTGGCAAGAAATGCCTCAAATTAAATATTCTCTTTTTGCTTGAGATAGTAAAAACAGATTTCCCAAATCTTATTATCTTTAGATTTCTACCTTAATCTATATTCTTCCATGATCAACCAATATTTTAAATATTTACTTTTGAAACAATATTCTACATAAATATATATATATAAATAAAAAGGACTACCACACAATTGTAATAATGTAATTTCATAATTAACATTTTATTTTTGATTTCTTTACCATATATACATAAAAAGAAAATGTAATAAGCAACTTGCTTTGAATCTAGTTAATAACTGTTGGGGTTGCGAGAATAAAAATTTATTTCTTCTGATGTTAAAAATAAACCTTATGATTAAAAAAGAATAAGTCAACATTTCAAAGGTATGTACTAATATACTTTTTAACTAAATAGGAAAAGATAATGTCTAAAATGTAGGGAAGGAAATACATAAACATCTCATTGGTTATTTTAAAGGGCATTTTTAGTATCTGAGAAGAGAAAGATGGTTTACAATGAAAGACAACTACCACCTTGATTTCTGCTTTACTCTGTATCTGTTAACATGAATGAGCTATAGCATCCTCAGAGATTCCCAGAAAATCAGGGTGAGAGTTAATTCACCAGTCATTGTCTTAATGCAAAATAGGGAAACATTGCCAAAGCATGGGGGTGGAGGGCTTTAAATGTCCATCAATGCAGGTACTAAGGCTGGTTGGTGGCTTTCTCCTTGTTAATGTATAGTAGAAAACAAATGAGAGCCAACTGAGGTTTTCAGCCTCGTTGTTGAATACTGCCAGCCCTTCCTGGTGGTGACTAAAACCAAATGTATTCACCAGAGACCCATGGGTTACTAGCCTCATTGCTGGTATGCTCTAATTATATTGTCTACAAAGGTAGCTTACAGATAATGTGAAACAATTAAACTGAGGAATAAAATTTCATTAATCCACACAAAAAGACAGAGGATATAGGAAAGAAGGAAAATAAAAGAAGTTAAGCTGCATCAGGAGAAAGCATGACTTAAAAGTTTAGTCACTTTCATTACTTTCAGTATTTATAGGAAACTCAACTGATATTCCCACAAAACAGAAGTTTTAGAAATTTGGTATAAGAAGTAAATGAAATGAGACAAACTGGTATTTAAATTACATGTAAATATTAGAGCGCAAAATAACAGATTTTTCTGAGCAGTTTAAGTAAAACTTATCCCTTAAATTTGTTCAAAGATTTTTAAACTGTGGTTGGTAGATCCCTAGGAGTCCTCAATATCCTTGCAGGGCCCATAAGCTCGAAACTAGTTTTATAATAATGCTAATATGCTATTTGCATGTCCACTGTGTTCACATTTGCACTAAAGCTTCCAAAAAACAGGTGGGTAGAACCATTGGCTCCTCAGCATCCATTGGTCAGAACCGTGACAACAAACTGTCCTGGTAGCCACTGAATTCTTCACTACCATGCACAGTTAAAAAAAAAAAAACTGGCCTGTTTCACTTAAGGATATGCTTGATCAAAATTAGGAGCAATTACTTTTATTTAAATCTTGACTCTTCGAGTGTGACTCTTTTAAATACTCTGTGCGACGAAAGTCAAGTGTTGCTAAAGTGCTTCTGCCACCTGTGAAGGCAGAGGACTGTCTCAAGAAAAACTTTTGTGTTGAGTTGCAACCTGAACTAGCTGCTTTTTCCATAGATGCCATTTTTACCTGAAGAAAAAAAAGAAAAAACAAAAAACGCTATGAACTGTGGTGATTCAGATATGGATATGTGGCAGAACATAAATAAAGTGAACCTGTCCCTTCAAGGGAAAGACTGACAGTACTTGTAGCCAATAATAAAATTTTAACTTTCAAGCAAATATTAAAATTGTAGAAAATTTGTATATGCCATTATGACAGCTCTCCAATACTTAATGAGTTTTCTGATAAGAGATGATATCAACAAAGGTCAGTGTGTATGTTTATGTAATGAGGTGTGTCAACATTTAGAAAATCAGCATAATTCAGTGAAACAGTACTTTCCAAAGTTACACCTGGATAAAAGATCCATTCTCAGTGTAAGATAGATAAATAGATTTTAATGTAACAGAGCATGGAGAGTTCATTAACAAACAGGGTTTCAGATACCACACTGCAACTGAATTTTAAGAAACTATGCCTTGTTGACTTTTCAACTACTATCAAAAAATAGTATCTATAATTGCCTGAAAAGGATACTATACTATTCCTCCCTTTTCTGACTATATATTGCATATTCTTCATACATTTGCACCAAAATATATGGAAACAGACTGAATGGAGCAGCAGATATGAGAAGCCAGTTGTTAAGTCACACATCAAGAAGACTTTTTATTGTTTCACTGAAAATGTGTTATTTATGGTAGTATGTACTGTGCTTGTTATTTTTATTTTAAAATAAATTAATAAAATTATTTCCTAAATTTCTCAGTTTTAATTTCTAATGCGGTAAATATTGATAAAGCCCATAGGAACAAAAAACTCTTTGGGGTCCTTCATAATTTTCAGGAGTGTAAAGGTATCCTGAGACCAAAATGTTTCAGAACCTCTGTTGAAATTATCACTATTAATAAAGTGTCTTTATATTACAAAGAAAATTTTTATCGACCTGGAGTTCATTAAGACTCAACTTGAGCTTCCTCATTAATGAGCTTTTTACTAGATGTGCCCCCAGTTTACTTATTTTATGGTCTCTCACCAATAAGAAAATTTAAAAAAATATTATCTTCTTTCTTCTCTTAAAACCTGAGGTCAATTTCTTAAAGTACGTATTGTATTTCAAAACCAATGAGTACTTAATGATAAAACCTTTCATTGCAAGGTTGTGTCAAATTAGCAAAGAACATAGACAGAATAGAGGGTTAGATAATTTTCAGGCATCACAAGTAAAATAGTCCACAATTCAGGTGTTAGTTCTCAGGTCTCACTAATCCATACCAGCTCATCTGACACAGGTGTTCTATACCAACCAATTAAAATCTGAATTGTGGGGAATCTACATTTGGATCACTGAAAGGAGATAGAAGAGATCAAGCAAAAACCAACATATTCTGGTTCTTCACAGTTATTATCCCAAACTAGGAAACTCACCCCTTTTAAAAAAAGAATTTTGAAAATATGTTTACTGATTTGAGAGAGGAAAAGAGGGAAAAACATCAATGTGAGAAACATTTATTAGTTGCCTCCCATATGTGCCCCAACTGGAGATGGAACCTGCAACCTAGGTATGTGCCCTGACTGGGAACTGAATCTGTAACTTTTTGGTATATGGAGACAATTCTCCAACCAGCTGAGCCATACCAGCCAGGGTAGAAACTCACCTCTTTGTCAGCCTTTATAAGGTAGTGAAGGAGCAGAAAAACAGGGTCCATGGGTGTGGCGAAGAGGAGAAGACCTCCTACAAATTAAAAGGAGAACAAAGGGAATTAACGTCTGAAAAGACAATTTAGTCATCTCATCTTAGTCCCAATGTAGAAACAATCTGTTGAAAACTATGCGAATTTTCAAATATGGAAGTTCTTCTTACACAGGCCCAAGCTTCTATGTGATTATCCAGGGACAGAATCCACAACCTATGTGTGTACCCTGACTAGTAATCAAACCTGCAACCTTTCATGGGATGATGCTCCAACCCACTGAATCACAAGAGCCAGGGTGACTCTTTTTTTTAAAGTAGAAGAGAAGTGTATAAAAACAACCTGTTAGGTTGTCTAAGTTAATTTTATATAAGGCATCCATTACATTCAGAAATTAGAATAGGTTTCTAGGTTTGAAAACAATATCCTGGTGGTCATTCTTAAAAACAGCTCTTTAAGGTTAAATTTTACAAAAAGACAATAATTAAAAAAGCCGGTACCTTTGCTGTGAACCTAAAACTACTCTCCAAAAAAAAAAAAAAAAAAAAAAAAAAACCACCAAAAAAGCAGGTATCTACACAGTCTAGTCCAGGAGAGATGATCAATATTTTCCAGTTCCATCTGGATATTACTATGTTTTTCTACCTAGACCCAACTACAAGTGTACATATTACATTAAAAGTTGGAACTCATATACTGCCAAACAAGCAAGCATAATAGCAATAACAGAAGGGAATACCAGATTATACCTAGACTACCACTGCACTTTGGCAACTAAACACCACTTTAATTCTTCTCATACACACAGGTATAAAAAATGTATCAGTAGTCTGAAACCCTTCTTCTGGAATGTCTTAGAAGAAAGGCAAAGCGACCTTTGTACTTTAGCACAAAGTAGCCAAATACACAGTCAAAGGAAAACAGCATCCTCTGGAAACAGTGAGAACAGTAATAGGGAATGCAGAGTACCTCAACTATCCCATGACACCTACCCTCACCTCAACACCCTCTCCTTCAGAACCATCAGAAAAACATGTGGTATTCTTTTTCCACTACTCCATAATTTGGAGTCAACACTACTCCAAATTAAAGGGATATTAAAAGAAATAAAACTTCAGTGTTGGGAGGGTGTTTGGGGAGAGGACAGCAGCATTAATTTATATAACAAAACATTAAAAACCTGTGTCATATTCTATTTTAGAAGCTATATCAGTATCTATTTTAAAGGAAATAAGATGTTAAAAACTTGAAAATCCTCAAACGCAGCTAATAGAAGAGCAAAGAGTTTCTACTCAAGACAATGGGCATTTCATGGTACAAAGATCACCTGCCTTCTGAAAACAATGTTCAGTGTTGAAAGTCATTAGTTAAAAATTTCCTACTATCTAAGATACATAGGTATTGATATAAACTTGCTCAAATTATCTTTCCTTTCTCCTTGATTAAACCCTGCAGTGATTCCAAGGAAGAAAAAACCATTGTCCAGGCTCCAAACCAGGAGAAGACTGGTATGCCTGCGAAGGATGGAAAAGCTAGAGTATGTTGTTCAGTTAATGGAAATATATACACTAGTCACTTACCTGATTGAATTGATTGATTTATAAACCAAGAATGGTGTTTTTCCTTGAAAACTTTTATTTCAAACAGCTGCTGTAGACACATATTGAACAAGTAAAGGGCTCCTTCCCCTGTTAAGACAAATCTGTTTTTTATTTGTAAGTTTTCATACACAAAAAATCAAAACGCTATCCAATAGTTCTGAGGAATGCTCCAAATACAAACATTAATATACATAGATATATATTCTATACAAACTGACTTCAACAAAAACTCACAGCTATTATATTACAGATGCTTGTTTTCCAGCTCTATAATAAAGGGGAAATTACTTATCTTAACTGTTTGAAAGCCTCTTACTGAATCCTTCAGCAGACCAGGAGGGATAACACATTTTTAAACTACCCAAACCTAATGGTTCAGCCAGATGAATTGAGGTGGCATGATGATCCCAGACTCCATGATAGTATGTGGCTACCCACACACAGGGACCAAGATAGAGACAGAGCCTAAAGACCCTAAAGGCCAATTCAGAGTGAGAAAGGCAAGGGCTCTAACGCATGAAATATTTTTTCTAAACATAGAGAAATCAAGGACTTTGAATTTATCTCTACCACACGCTGGGCTTATGCCCTTGGGGAAGTTATATAACCCTTTCTGTATCTGTTTTCATATCTGTAAAATGGAAGCAACAGTGAACCTACTTCCTGTTCATGGGGTTTTTGTAAGGATTAAAGAGAATACCTGCAAAGTTCTTAAAACAGTATTTGGCATAATGTAAATGCAAATATTAGTCTATTTTTTCCACAGTTAATGTAGCAAATACAAACATTTGTTTGAACTTCTGTTGTCCATGGACATTTAGATAAAAAAGACATTTTCAAAAACCCTGAAATCTCTGTACTTTTACTTTTGTTAAATGCTTTAGACCCTTGGCTGCTACCTAAAACTTGCCTTGAAGAAACATTTCTCATCTCAACTTAGTCTTACGTATAAGTAGGAGCTCCACATAATATAGTGGACAAATCACATTTAATTATATTTTGAGAACAAGAAAACTAGAGGAAGCTGAATTTTTTTCCCTTTTGCTACTTCTATTGTATATGTTTCCTAACAACCAGAACAAGCAGGCACCATCCACTAGCTTCGTCTTGCTTTTACTATTCAGCATTAGTCACTAGGAGAATGCTCTAATTTTCTAAATATCTACTCAAAACCTTATAAAACTAACAAAAACCTTTTAACATAAATCTTATAAAATAATTTAATGAAAAAACAATTCCATATTCAGATAAATATTACTAATATTGCTACATATTTATACTATATTTTAATAATTCTTGCCTATAACTTAGAAGACATAACAGAAAATACAGTGAATATAAAGTTAAAATAAAATTACTTCTGAAAAAATATCTCCTTAATATACAATGCTTTTAATACAAAAAAAAATTTCATCCCTTGACAGGAAAAAAACTACTATTTTTTGGTTAGCTAAAAGGCACAGCTAAAAATGAAACCACTCATAATCTTGGCATCTCATATAAAAGCCTTCTTTATTTTTCTTTTACTCCCCTGTCACTGTTTATATTACTTTATAGGAGGCTAACTACTCTAAGAAAAGTTGGGTTAAGTAAGCTAAAGAAAGTTAATGTTTTCAGAGAGAAATCAAACATGCTACTTTGCTTTGCCATCATTTCTGTTGAATAAGCAGGTCTATGGATTAAAATTATAAGAATAAATAGAAAATGTTTAGGTCAAGTGAATCAGCTGAGATGATCAGTAACGTCATTAGCTTACTTTTGTCACCTTTTAATACCATTTTACATTTATTTATCTTATTTTTTATTTAATTTTCATTGTATTTTTTTTTACATTACCTTTTAGTCCCCTTATACCTCCTCCCCTCAGCAATCACCACACTGTTGTCCATGTCCATGAGTCCCTTTTCCTTTTTGCACAATCCCTCCACCCCCAACCTCCCACCTGCCCCACTAGCTGTCATCCTGCTCTCCCTCTATGTATCTGTCCCCATTTTCAAAGTTATTCAGTCAGAACAAACATACAAAGGTAAATTAGCCACAGCATTCCAAAAATGTTCAAGTTACTATTACCAGAAGGGAGGGAAGAGGAGTGGAAAACAGCTTACCTGAACATGGGTTAACTAATTTTAAAAACATAAGCCCAGTTTTCATTTTCTTTGAAGCATCTTTTAAATATTCTGAAAGAAAATGATGAATTTGTAAAATTAAGACATTTGCTTTGTTTTTCTCCTAATTTATCCCGATTTTTTTTCTTCTATTTATATGATTTTTCTTCCTAAAATTTTTAACTCAATTCTATTGCACAGGAGCTGTGTAATTTGGAGCAAATTAGCAGTTTCTCTGTAAAGTGCAGTGGGGTTTTAGGTCATTTTAATTTATTTCTTTGAGAAGTGATGAGGAACAGAACTCTATGGCCTGAGTTATAACTTTGGTTCAATCAACTATTTGGCAGTTTTGTTGCCTTGGGCAAGGTTCTTCATGTCCTGTCTCAGTTGTCACATTAATAAAATGATGGTAACATATATACTTGCCTTTCAAAGGATTAAGTTAGCTAATTGCTGAAAGCTCTTAGACAATGGGGGGGTGGAGGAGAGTGGTGGGAAGAGAATGGAGACAATTTTACTTGAACAATTTTTTTTAAAAGTACAAAAAAAAATTTTTAAATAAAAAATAGAGCAGCACTGACAAATCCAAGGAAAAGAGAAACATTAATATAGTTACAATTACTAGTATTATATTATCATCACTGAAATAGAATATTTTAAAAACAAATATTTCTCATTTATATTTTTGCCCCTAATTGTGATGATCTAACCTTGCCCCCTCCCCATATTTTAGTGGGATATTCACTTTCTCTTACTACTTTATGAGGAGTCTTTCTACAGTAACAATATGAATTCTGTGCCATACTTAGAAAGGCCTTCTCTTTCTCAATATTATATTTTCTTCTAATACCTTTAGATTTTATCTTTAACCTATCTGGAATATGTGTGGGTATAATATAAGGATAAGATCCAACTTTAATTTTTTTTCAGTGAGCTGTCTATCCAGTGGTACCAACACCATCTACTACATGACTCATTAAAATAATTCCTTTATGCTAAATGTTTAAAATACATTTATAAGTCTGTCAATGGACATTCTATTTTGATCCATTTATATCTACATTAACATTAGTACTTCAATATTTTAATTATAGCTTTAAAATACATTTTAATATATTATCAGGTAAATCCCTTCATAATGTTTCCTCTATAATATTCCACTGGCAAAATTTTAATCATATACTTTAAAACATAAAGACCATGACAATTTTATTTATAACATCCTCTATACATTTTGAGTGGCACATTCATATAACTCATTTAAAGAATGTCTCTCGAAAGAAACTGGGGACTTTGACAAATAAGGGAAGAGAACAACAACCTACCAAAGAGCAAATCAAAGCTTCTGGAAAGGAAGAGAATTTTTAGTCACTTTTATTTTCTATGGCCCCCACTCTCTTCTCCCCACTTCAGATCTTCTTAAACTTATTTATATAGTGCAAGCATGTTTAGAAATTGGCTTACTTATAAATGGTTAAAATACAACTTTTTCCCTGAAAAGAGTGACATTAAATATATAAAGAAACATACCATAATTTTAAGTTCCTACTTGCAGTCAAGTGGAATAACAGGAACCTAATTTACCCTCCCACCCAATGCAACTAAAAATAAAAAGACAAAAATATACGAAACAACTCCTAGACAATGGACATTAAGCCATGCAGAACAGTGATCTCTGAGAGATGGAAAACAAAACAGGTAAGCCCTGTGGCCATGGAGTTGAATGGGAGAATCCAGGTGAAGCCTGGCAGATTCCTTGAGTTGAACACAAGCTGAGAGTTCTGAGACACCATGGCTAGAGTTCACAGGTTAGCATAAAAGAAAGGAGAGAGATACAAAGAAAGAAAACTCCAGAGATCTGCAACAGGTATATCAGTGCATGGATATGATAAAACTTCCTGAAGCTGGGAGAAAATCCATCTGAACATATTATATAGAACAGTACCTCAAATTCACTCAGGATCTTGAATTGGGCCTATTCACAGACATACTGGAAAACTTCATAATTCAGAGGTATTGGGTTAAGTCCTAAGAAAGGGTCTTGTCTCAATAATAGGAACAAATAATTCTATACTAAAAGCTGCTCTGATTCCACTGAACTAATTTTAAAAGTAAGACCTAAAAGGATCAGGCTATGTCTTAGTACCTTCACTGTGTCCCAGAAAGAAGCTCAAGATTACTTATAGGAATACAAAAATATTCATCAGCCTAAGTAAAATTCACAATGCCTGGCATCCAATCAATTATTACTAGGCATTCAAAGAAGCAATAAAAGATGGCCTATAATAGGAAAAATAAATCAATTATTGAGAAACAGATATTGATATTAGACATACATGTTAGAATGAACAGATTAAGAGCATTAAAAACAGTGTTCCTCATATACAAAAAGTTAAGTAGAAAAACAACATTTTTTCAAAAGACCCATGTTGAGATGGGATTAATGGCAGAAGATTAATGAATTTGAAGGCACAGCAACAGAAACTTTCTAAAATGAAAACACATTTAAATTAAAAATAAAAATAAAAGAGTGAACTGTGGGACTTAAGCTTCCTAATAATGTATATGTAACTGGAGTTTCTGAAAGACAGAGACAGGGAAAGAAAATATATTTGAAGGAAAGCATAGATGAATATTTTCATATTTGATGAAAGCTGTATACCCACACATCCAGGGAAGTTCAATACACCCAAAGAAACAGGAATAAAACTATACATCAGAATTAATAGTTCAAAACCATCAATAAAGAGAAAATCTTAAAAATGAAGTGGAAAAAAAGACATTATGTATGAGGCACAAGGCTAAAAATGACAGTAAATTTCTTGTTGGAAACAATGCAAATCAGAAAACAACAGAAAAACATCTGTAAAGTACTGAAAGAAAACATGATGAACACAGAGAAATTACCCTTTAAAAATGAAGGTGATAAATAAATTTTTTTCAGACATATAAGAGCTGAAAGAAAGGATATCAATAGACTTACATTACAAGGAATGTTAAGGGAAGCCTTCCAGCAGAAGCAACATGACATCAGATGAAAATATGAATCTAAACACAGGAATGAGGAACACTGGTAATGGTGACTGAAGGAATAAATAAATAAGAATTTTATTATTATTTAAGTCTCTTCAAAGATCAAAGACTAAACAAAAATAGCAATAATTTAGTGGTTTTATAACATATGTATAAATAAAATATATGACAACAATAGTATAAAAGCCAGGAGGAATGAAATAAAAGCATTTTAAGTTTCTAATGCAATATGTGAAATGATGTATAATCACTTGAAGGTAGATGTGATTTAAATATGCATAAAATAAACCCTACAACAGCCACTAAAATTACAAAACAAAAAAATTCTGTCACTAACAAGACAACAAAGGAGATGTAATACAATCATAAAAAATATGTAATCCAAAAGAAAGCAGAAAGGGGGTAGCATAAGTACAAAATAATGATGAAACAAATAGAAAACAACCTGCAAGATAACAGAATCAGGATGTGAGGGTCATCTGGCTGCAACATCTGTCACCCCATTTATCACCAGGGTTGATCTGGGTGATCTGGCTGACTAGACGGGTGTCTCCTTCCTCCCTCACCAATCAGAGTGCATCCCTCCCAAAGCTGCAGGCTTGGTCAAGAGGATGATCTTCCCAGCTAAAGGAGAGGCTTTGTCTCTGGTCAAGGGTATACCAACAGCTGTGTCCCCCTGCTAGAGCCTCCAAACAAGCTCTCAAGATAACAGAATCAAACCTATCCATGTCAATGAACACCCATTGTCCTGTACACCCAATTAAAAGGCAGTTATTGGCCCTGGCCAGGTAGCTCAGTTGGATGTATACCCCAAAGTTGCAGGTTTGATCCTAGTCAGGGTACATACAAGAAGCAAACAATAAATGCATAAATAAGTGGAACAACAAGTCAGTGTTTCTCTCTCTCTCAAATCAATAAATAATTTTTCTTAAAGCAGTAACTGTCAGATGTGATAAAAAAGGAAAAATGTTTAAAAGATAAAACTACACAGTAGGGCAAAAGTAGGTTTACAGTTGTTCCTATAGAAAGTTCCTATAGTAATTGAAGAATAAACTGTGTACTCACAACTATAAACCTACTTTTGCCCAGCCCTGTTTATTCTGCCTATAAGAAACGCACTTTGAATATAAAGATTAAAAGTAAAATGAAGTAACAAGATATGTTGTGCTTCTCATGCTAACACTAATTAAAAGAAAGATGAAATTACTATTAATAACAAAGAGTATTTGCAGGGATAAAGAAAGTCATTTCATAATGATAGAAGGCTCAAGAAGAAATAATCCTAAATGTTTATGCTCACAAATACAGAGCTTCAAGATGTACAAAGTTAAAACTGATAGAACCCTTTGCTCCATGGCTAGCCTCTGGCAACCACTAATCTGTTCTACATCTCTGTAACTGTCAACTTGAGAATGTAATAAATCATACAGATTCAATTTTAAGACTGTTCTAAGACTTCCATTCCTGCAACTTGTAAGAAAATGTAAAGGATAAAGTTTAACACTGTTAAGGACTTTCCCCCCAAATTAAAACAGGTTACGGTTTTCTCTCCCTTTCTCCTTAGCTGTTTTTTACTTTTCCGGCATCACATAGCTTCACCATTCAAATCTTTTAACTTTAAACTGGTAAATTATTGATCTTTTTTTTGTTTCCTATTACTTATTTCTGTAGAAAACCTGCCAGTTCTCCTTTAGCATTCCCATTCCTCTGGAGCTTAAAATAATTAAAATTTACAAACAGCAAGTCTAAAAAAAATTTATAATAACAAGGAAAACAGTGTTTGCACTTTTTCCAGGAACAGCAGCAAATCAAGATTAGATATAGCCTAAAATATCAAATTATAAGAACTTTGTAATTACTAAGTACAAATAAATACTGACATTAATGTGTTCTGTTGTAAATGCCAGTGTTCTCTGAAATACACTTTGAGACATATCAGTGTAGGTAACATTGAAATATCAATTTAGTAGGGGGAAAAAGTCATCTTTTCTCACACTGCCAACAAAAGAACTTGCTTTGGACTGATTCTTTCAACACAG